GCGGCCAAGGTGGAGGTGGACACGGAGGCGGCCAAGGCGGAGGTGGTCAAGGAGGAGGCGGACAAGGAGGAGGCGGACAAGGTGGAGGTGGTCAAGGTGGAGGTGGACAAGGTGGAGGTGGCCAAGGTGGAGGCGGCCAGGGAGGAGGTGGCCAAGGCGGAGGTGGACAAGGAGGCGGCCAAGGTGGAGGTGGACAAGGAGGCGGCCAAGGCGGAGGTGGACAAGGAGGCGGCCAAGGTGGAGGTGGACAAGGAGGCGGCCAAGGCGGAGGTGGAGGTGGTAAATAATTATGAAAGGTATTTGAATTCTCGAAGTTTGTGTGTAGTTACTTATATGCTTAGTCTATCTCGGTTTGGTATTAATTGGAACTGATGGATTACCGGAATAAGACGCACAATGCTTTAATTGGAAATAGACAGTTGTTAGGTTATTGATATATTTTTGTTTGTTGTGGTTAGGAAAGCATGTGTGGTTTTTTTTAGTGTAGAAATAAATAGAATAGTTGGAATCGAATGCAAACATAAATACGCGCATCATTTGATTAATATCGTCATAGAATACATTGATCGGATTAATGGCAGTGATTGGAAAATTATTATTAGAATCTCATTATGAATCTAATTGAGCACGGTAATGGGTGTGGGGTGTGGGGTTTGGGTGTGGGTGTGGAGTGCGGGTGTGGGGTTGGGTGTGGGTGTGAGTGTGGGTGTGGGTGTGAGTGTGGGTGTGGGTGTGAGTGTGGGTGTGGGTGTGTATTAGGTCGAATACCAGAGAATAATACCCACACACCCCACACCCACACATCCACACCCACACACCCACACCCACACACTCGACACACCCCACACCCACACCCACACCCACACCCACACCGACCCACACGCACACCCCCACACCCCCACACCCCCACACCCCCACACCCCACACCAACATCCACACCCACACACACACCCTGCAGCACATAAATATAAGGCAAGACAAAAATATATAGGATGATAGGGATTTTCAAGCTCTATCAGAATATGTTCTTACTTTTCTAAAAAATTATTTGTATGCTAATGAAAAATTAAAAAACCTAATTTTGATAACAATGACAAAATCAAGTCAGTGAGAATCTGGTGATGAAAGTGCCTTCATTACAATCGGTTTATTTTGATAGTATATAAGTGCAAAACAAAACAAAAACATAGGATGATAGAAAACTTCCAGCGCTTAAAAAAGTAATATTCAGAACCAAGGAAAATACTGATGAAAATTTTCTGGACGAACAAACGCTTCATCAATGTTGAGATTTAACAATTTAGCAGAATTGAGACCTCTTTCATTATTGGTGAAATTGTTTGCTACCATCATGAGTGATTAGTGTTTTATCCAGCGAAAGACATGAAGCTTTTTGCCCTCTTGGAGATCGCGTTTCCTTCCTCGAGAAAAACGAAATAAGTTTAAAAAACAAAGTCAATATATTTTTTCTAAACCTATTGTTTATGGGAGATTTTTGGAGACATTGTTCATAAATATAATCTTAAAACAAAATAAAGTCATTTTCTTTAATATAATCTCACTATTATATGCCATTAATTTCAATCAGATGAATTAGCAATGTGTATTATATAGTAGAATTTTAGATTGTTGTTATAACGAATGCTGCAGAACTAATGGCTTTCTCAGTATTTTAATGATACCTTTGTCAATTTTCAATCGTTTGTATCAAGTTTTTTAACGAAACATTTTATCATTCAGTTTTCTACAAAAATTTTTATGGCGTTTCAATATATAAAATAGCCGTGGCGAGTTCTGGGTTTAAGACTGTGAAACTCTAAAATGGCAAACTTTGCAACAATATTTTCCCGATTTTTTTTCATCTTGTTGTGAACTGTGCGACATATAAAGAAACATAATAAGATATTTTGAAACTGTTGAAAAACTCTTTCTAAATGGCTGCCTAAGATATTACTCATGGCTTTAACTTTCATGCAGGCAAGTTTTATTTCTGTAGTACATATTTCTGTCCTGCGGCAGGACTTGGCATCAATTTGTCGAAATGCTCAGTTTATGTACTAAACTAACTTTTCATAATTAAGTGTTCCTGTTGCTTTTAAAGCAAATGATTTGCCTAACGGAACGACGAGATAGTCTGATATACATCCTATTTTTTGTATAATTTGCGGCTTGAGATCGTAAGCTCGCAAGATTTCACATCGTTTTATAACAAGTGGTTTCAATAATGCATCACTACCCTACTCGCAGTACGTTCACAAAACGAGATGAGAACAAGAACGATTTAAAATATTAAAAAAAACAACGGTGACAGCAATTCGGCAATTGCTCTATCGGTTAGAAATGATAATTATTCTCTAGAAAAACTTCGGTTGCAAATTTCGTCATTTTGAAGCCTTACAGTCTTTAACCCAGACCTTGTCGTCGCTATTTTATATATTGAAACGTTGTATATAGTTTTTTAGAGAATTAATTGAGAAATCGTTTCATTAAAAAGTTCGACTCAAACGATTGAAAATTGAAGAAGTATCATCAAAATACTGAGAGACTCATCATTTTTGTGGCACGAGTTATTTTTGATTAGTCATTTGTCTTTCGGTGATATGGCTTGTTTTTTTTTTCTTGTGGTATATTTATTGCTTACTGGCTCTTTTTATATTTTACGCTTTTTCTTTTCTAATAAATGAAATAAAAATCGTTACAGACCGTGACAAACGGCTTTAAGGAGATATGAGAACTCATGCATAACTAAAATTTGATTTGGTATTCATAGACTATTTCTTTATTGAAGTTCTACGCTGAAAAAAAAGATACTAAGGAAATGTGTTCCGATTTGCAGAAATGACACCTACTTTTAGGGATTTAGTGATGATTCGCACATCGTGTTTCACATTTTAGTCCGCTAGAGATTATACTAACAATACTAACAGCTTTTTCCAATAAATGAAACAAATAATCTATATATATAATCTATATTTATAATGTTCAGTGTCTGTCTGTTTCTCTGTGCCGGTCAAAGGTCAAAGGTTAAGGATTCTAGAATTTTGTAGAACGTTCAAAAATTATGCGTGCCTCTATAAGTTTCCAGAATGTTCTGGAACCTTCTAGAACATTCTCGAAGGATTGTGTGCTAATGAAACTTATGGCTCAGGTCAGAGGCTAAAGGTTAAAAGTCAGAGATCAAAGGTCAGAGGTTAAAGGTTAATAGAAGGTTTGAGAATTCTGACTGACCATAGGTCATGAGTCATGAATGATCGAAGATCAGTTCAAGAGAATTTTCTAGAAGGTTCTACAATAGGATTCCCATAAGGGGGCACCACTATCAAGGTAGTCTTTCCCTAAAGTGACGTTGATGGTGGCATCCCCAGGTGGGCACCCACACTTGCCAAAGGGTATAACCCTTTGAGGACCGGTGGCTCATTTTTGGACCACCTATTTTTCAGTAAAGAAAAAAATGTTGAGTTCACATTAAACTATTAAATATGTAAGGTGATTAAAGTCATAAATAACTAATAACTACATGTGTCATCTCATGCTTTTCTTTTCTTTCTTTTCTTCTCTCATATAACTTCTTTTCAAATATCCTTTGTTCTTGTTGCTAAGGTAGAGTGACGTCATCATTTCTTTCTTCTCCTTTGATCTTTTATTTTTCGAGAATATTCTCATTCTATACTGGGTATATATACTTCCGTTCTCATTGATGAATTTACATTGTTCTTGAATTTGCAAAGTATATCATTTCTCTTTCGAACTTGTACTCTTTATTTTATTTCGTACCGTTTTACAATTAATTTTGACAATGAAATGCATTTGTCTATAAAAGGAAAAGAAGAAGTTGTGCTTATTTTAGCATTAAGGAAGCAGATTTCCGATCGAACATGGAGTGCTTCGCTTGCAAATTGCCATTTTGTTTAAAAGATGAAAAAGATTGTTTTTTTTTGATTATCATAACATTTTTCTGTAGCCATTTTGAGTTAAAATAAAATAAAAAGGTTGAAAAATGCTTTTTTTTTAATGAAAAAAAATTCGGTCCTCAAAGGGATAAATAGTCCGTCGAAGTTGTAGGTAGATCATTTTCCAAATATCAATGATGACCGATACATCACAAGATACTATGGACCGTACTATCCACCCAACTCCAGCACAAACATCGCATGAGATATCTAAACAGGTAACACTTAGGAGGTCAGAAAGTATCCGACAACGAAGTGCAAAAGAAACAGAAGAGGAAAGGCAGAAACGACTACAGAAGGACGCAGCAAGACATCGTACAGAGTACCAGGAACAATCAGAAGAACAAAAGCAAAAGCGACGAGAGAAAATTGCCGCACAAGCAAGAAAACGAAGAACATAAGAAACCGATGATGAACGACATGATCGACAATCAAAAGATGTGGAACGAGCAAGAAAGAGAAGAACTGAAGAGACTGACGATGAACGTCGTGAAAGACAAGCAAAAGATACTATTCGTCATCGTCATCGTAGGCAACGAAGTTTATCTTCATATGCAGTTGCACTTCAAGATCAAGTTCCTTCAAAAAGTTATGATGGAAGAATGGATAAGGTCTGCCGACACTGCAATGCTCTACACTTTGAGGGCGAGTACGCTTCTGATAGACAGGATGAATTCAAGCAATGTTGCCACGACGGATCGGTTCAACTTCCCGAGCTTTTCATATACTCAGATCAACTCAAAGCTCTTCTGCAAGGAACTGATGCGGAATCAAAAAAATTCCGCGAAAACATCCGAAGTTACAATAATGCTCTCGCATTTGCATCGATGGGGGCTCAGCTTGATTTACCACAAGGTTATGGACCTTACTGTTTCCGAATTCATGGACAGATCTATCACCGAATCGGTCCACTTCATCCTGAATCTGATCAGAGAGCACAGTTTGGCCAACTTTACATATTAGACTCATCCTTGGCATTAAAAGAACGAATGGGAAATGTTGCGAATGAAAATTGCAAATGAAACGACGATGAAAAAACTTGGTGACCTAATGAAGAGCATTAGTCCGTTTGCTGCTGCCTTCAAGATGATGCAGGAAGTGGAAGAAGAAGGCATTCATCAAGCTAAGAAAGAAAAACGAGCACTACCTCCACTTCGAATGATTTTTGATATTGATCATCGAATTCACGATCGACGACTCTACAATCTCCCAACAGCAAATGAAGTTGCTGCAGTTTTCGTAATTGAAGATAATGAAGTTCCAACACATCGACAAATTGCACTTCATCTGCGTGGAAAAGATCTTGAAATTATTTCAATCTTACATCCTCACTGTGATCCAGTGATTTATCTACTATTATTTCCACGTGGAGATGAAGGATGGCACCCGGACTTAGAAAAAACTGATCGATCACGAAATCGGACAAGAGTATCAATGCTTCAGTTTTACAGTTATCGATTGGCTATTCGTCAAATCTTCACTGCTATTCATTATGCAGGAAAATTATTTCAACAATATATTGTCGATGCCTATGTTAAAACTGAACAAAATCGCCTTGCATTTCATCAACAAAATCAAAAGGCTCTTCGAATAGAATTATACCAAGGCCTAATGGATCATTAAGCAAATGAAGCAGTAATAGAAGGGTTAAAGCCTGGACGAGTCATTATACTTCCATCAAGTTTCCAAGGAGGTCCCAGAGCAATGCAACAAAATTATCAAGATCCAATGGCAATCGCCAGAAAATATGGCAAACCCGACTTATTCATCACACTTACATGTAATCCAACATGGAGAGAAATTGAAGAACAGCTTTTTCCTGGCCAAACTTCTTCAGATAGACCTGATCTAATTACCAGAGTATTTAAACTCAAACTTGATGAACTTATTGATGATCTTTTCAAGAAACATATATTAGGAAGAACAATAGCCAATGTCTTCGTAATTGAATTTCAAAAGCGTGGCTTACCACATGGTCACATGCTTATTATTCTGGACAGTGAAGACAAAATAAAAGATGACAGTCATATTGAACGCCTCGTATGCAGTGAAATACCAGATGCCATCCGATTTCCACAATTATATGAATGTGTAAGAAGACATATGATTCATGGACCATGTGGAACATTAAATCCACATTCTCATTGCATGGAAGATGGAAAATGCTCAAAAGAATTTCCAAAAGCATTTCAAAATGAAACTATGGCAAATAAGGATGGTTATCCACGATATCGTCGAAGAGATAATGGAATTACTATGACCATCGGCAAATATACAGTTGACAATCGATGAATAGTCCCTTATAATCCATACTTATGAATGAAATACAATGCTCATATTAATTTGGAAATTTGTGCAACCGTCAAAAACATTAAATATTTATTTAAATACATTTATTAGGGGCATGACTGAGCTAACATTAGGTTAGAACGACCAATTCAACAAGGTGCTGCTGCTCAAGAAACTTTAGAATGGGATGAAATTAATGCACATCTTGATGCAAGATATGTTAGTGCACCTGAACTAGGGGTACGGGGGTGCTCTATTGAATGGTGGGTATATGTATGGGTCCCCTCCTTGCTCTTCATGGAGAAATAGAATATTGCACATTCATTGATCAACTAAATGGACCAATCAGATTTCAGTGGGGCTTTTCTTCCTTATTGTAAGGACAAGTACTAGTGATGTTCGGACCAATCCTAGGGTTATCGGGGGTGCTCTGTTGAATGGTGGGTATATGTGCGGGTTCCCTCCTTGCTCTCCATGGAGAAATAGAACATTGCACCTCCACTGATCAAATAAATGGACCAATCAGATTCCAGTAGGGCTTTTCTTCCTTATTCTAAGGACAAGGACTAGTAATGTTCTGGCCGATCCTACAGTTATCGGGGGTGCTCTATCAAATGATGGGTATATGTATAGGTCCCCTCCTTGCTCTCCATGGAGAAATAGAATATTGCACATCCATTGATCAACTAAATGGACCAATCAGATTTCAGTAGGACTTTTTTTCCTTATTCTAAGGACAGGGACTAGCGATGTTCGGGCCGATTCTAGGGTTCTCGTGGGTGCTCTATCGAATGGTGGGTATATGTGTGGGTCCCCTCCTTGTTCTCCATGGAGAAATAGAATATTGCACCTTCACTGATCAACTAAATGGACCAATCAGATTCCAGTAGGGCTTTTCTTCCTTATTCTAAGGACAGGACTAGTAATGTTTGGTCCGATCCTAGAGTTATCGGAGGTGCTCTATCAAATGATGGGTAGATGTATGAATTTCCTCCTCGATTTCCATAAAGAAATAGAATATCGCGCTTTCAACGGTCAATGAAATGGACCAATGAGATTTTAGGAGGACTTTTCCTCCTTACTGTAAGCACAAGTACTACTCATGGCCAGGTCGCTCGTAGGGTTACTGGAGACGTTGTATCAAATGATGGGTATATATATGGGTTTACTCCTTGCTCATAAGTGGTGAAATAGAATACCAAGCAGAAACGACGGATAGCTGTGAGAAGTATTAGCGTCGCACTCTTCTCTGTTTTGTTAGCTAGAGGTCATAAATTTACTGGTACACATGTGCGTGTGACGCGAAACAAAACAATGTATAATTAAGAACGCTATGTACAATTTGATTGGATCATCTTTTACCAATAAAATTTCTGGATGGCTTCTCTTCCTTATTTTAAAGACAAGTACTAGCCATGTTTGAGCCGATCTTAGGATTATTGGGGACATTCCATCAAATAACGGGTATATCAGAGATGGAACCGGTCTGGATTTTTGAAGACCGGTACCGGTACCGGTCCAAACAGGTCAGACCGGACCGGACCGGCCGGTCTACCGGTTCGACCGGTCTACCGGTAATCGACCGGTCTACCGGTTACCGGCCGGTCTACCGGTCACGACCGGTCTACCGGTCACGACCGGTCTACCGGTAATCGACCGGTCTACCGGTAGACCGGCCGGTCTGAAATCCGTACCGGTACCGGACCGGACCGGACCGGCCGGTAGCCGGTACTGGTTCCATCTCTGGGGTATATGTGTGGGCCTCCGGCTTCGAGGTGACCAAGAAACAGAATTCTGTGATTCGTTCGGTCAAATGAAGTTGAGCGATGAAATTGTAGGAACCGTTTTCTTCCTCATTTCGAGACCATGTTGGTGTTATGTTTTAGTCGTTTCTGAAGTGTCGGAGATGCTCTTCTGAAGGACCTACATATCGAAGTGCTGGGGTTTTCTTATAGCAGTAAAGTGCTATCTGGCCATCTGATTTGTGAGTTGAGATGTATCGATAATCTGGTACGTCGTTCTCACTTAGTTAATAGTCGAAAAGAATGGCTGTTTCGTTAGGTTATTTCGGGATAGATGTATTACCAGTTAAACAGTTGTTGACAATCGGTGGATATGTTATTCGATAACACCTAGCGTGTAGGGTACATTACAATGGTTTATGGTATGCTTGTTTACAGTCCCTGCGTTGGTACCATGCTCGTCAACAACCATTGTTCATAGTCATTGTTTCCGATCGTTGTAATGCAATGTAACCTGTCATTAACTATTGGCAGAAGGAAGTACCGTAAACTGCTTATGAATATATCGTTTTACGTTGGCATACAAAGAGCGTATACGGGTGCCGTTTTGTTACATTAGCCGTTTATAACTGACTATTACGGGTGTCATGTACACTGACTGTAATATGCCGTGGAGCGTCGTTTACAGTTGTTGTAAAAGTCTGGCGGAAATGGTCACTCTTGTCCGCCATAATTAGTTGACATGTGACTGTGCGCAGTCGAGCATAATTGACCTGGTATTGACCATATGCTTAATGTTGGCCCTCGATGGTACAGATGACTCACCTATTGCTGGTCCTCATACATATTAATCATCTACTGCATGGTGATCTTCATCAATTTCAATTACCTAATTGATGATTCTCCTTATAGATATTTATTAACTACTCAATGTTGATGCTTAATATTATAAATGATAGTACGCATGTGAAATTATCGGGGAAAAAATTAATGCGCATGTTTTGGAAAATTCTAGCCTAGAAAGCGTTGGTTGGGTAACAGTAAAAATTGTGGGTGTGGGTGGATGATTGGTACGGATAAAGCAAAGAATCAAAACCACACTCAAACGTACACCCATACTCAGACCCACATCCAAAATGTGCTTTTCTTATTTCGGTGTACTCTAAATATTATCAATTTATCTCTCGACACTTAGTTAACTAGTATCTGGAGTCGATAAATAAAGCTGACATTACCTGTATGGTCATCTGACTGTGTCATCCCCTAATCTTTTTCTCTGGCTTACATATGATGTCTCCGGAGAATATCCCCGGAAACTCAATTATGTCCTAGGGTAAGAGGTATAGAGATAGATAGGTATAGGAGGTATAGGAGGTATAGGAGGTATAGGAGGTACAGGAAGTATAGGAGGTATAGGAGGTATAGGAGATATAGGAGGTATAGGAGGTATAGGAGGTATAGGAGATATTGGAGGTATAGGAGGTATAGGAGGTATAGGAG